TGGCGCAATATGGTTCATGGGGTCATGAAGAGTCGGACATGACTTAACGACTGAACAACAAAAAATCCTTTCAAAATGTATTGCTCTCATTTTGAGGATGGGATTGAAGGGGAACTGGAGTAAGAGGAAACGTGCCCAGGCTTGCATCTTCTCTGCAAGATTGGGTTTCCAAAATCTGTGATTTTCATATGACCGACACAGATGTCTACAAAGCTGTTACCAAGGTCAGAAGCATACATGGAATGCTATATTTCAGTTCAGAGCCATTTTCTATTTATTACAGGAACCTTGTCATATAAACCAAGAGAGGATTCTTTCCCAGATGAGCATGTGAGGCTTGCAAGTTGCAATCTGAGACAGAATGGGGAGGCACTGAAAGTTCCTTCAAGCTGGTATGTGTCAGAGGCCAACCCTTGTTCAGGATCTGGATAGGCAGTGATTATGAAGTTGGAAATTAAAAAGCAAGTTAATTAAGCAGACGTATCGGGGGGGTTAGTGATTTGGGAAAGAGAAAACTGAATTAGGGTATGAGAAGAAGAGGGAGCCTTCGCCTACATCTCCCATAGAACACAGCCGTAATGGAAATCAGAAGCTCCCCATCCCTGCAGTAGGACAAAGGAAGAGAGATTCTACTAAGTATTTCTCAGTGAGAGGGCCGAATTCCAGGCGTGTGAGGCAACAAACAAGAGAGAAGGGAACCAGACATCTCTGGTGGTTGAAGAAGCCAAACTGTGGCCATAGATGTGTCTGTCTATGGAAAGAAAGAAAGAGGGGGCAGAGTGGACTGTGCACAGCCTTGAAGTTAGAACAAGGAACTGGTGCTAAATCAGGGAGCAGATGGAGAGCCATCTGAAGGAAGACCCACCCTCTGACTTGAACAACAACAGAGGAAACTAATTCTGAGAGGACCAGGTGGGAGAGAGAAGATTGGAACAGTGCAAGAGATGGCCAGACTTTATTCTGTTACCTTTTAAAACATGGGTTTATACCAGTGAATGACCTGGACTAGAGATTTCCCAGTTACAGAAATGCAGATTCAAGTGAATGCTAGGACAAAAATATCCTAACATCTAGAGCCAACTGGCAGCACACTCAATGTCCCAGAGAGGCAGTAAGCTTCCCTTCACTCCAAGCAGAGAATGGGCAATCCTTGGCTGGGAATCTTTGATTGTCATTCATGCACTGAGCAGAAGGAAGGTTCAGCTCCACTGTCCAGCTCTAGGATACAGTGATCCTAATACTGCAAGTGTACTAGAAGATCCCATAAGGCACAGATCCAAGAATATTTTGCCAGTATGCCCTTGGATAAAGACTGAGTATGAAGTGATGAACTGACAGTAGAACATAGCCTTGGAAGAGAAAGGGAAAATGATGCCAGTGTTCTGTCTATTCTTCATCCTATCTGGATAAAACTCTCAATGTTGTTATGGGTGGCTGACCCCTTCCAAAAGGAATGGGAAGTATCAGGGCACCCCTGAGTTTATTGCAAATGTTCCCACTCAAGTTGTTTGCTCAGGTCAGTACAATATTAAAGTACAGACAAGAGAGGCTGCCTGGGTTTGGGAGCTGAAAGGTGAAACAGCCCAGCTGCTGCTGACTCTATCCATGTGGGCTTTTAAAGTACGCAGAGTTTAAATTCTTTGCTGCTGATGCTGGAGAGAGCCAACAGACATCTAATTCACCAATGTCAGCCATTCAAGGTAGATCAGACCAGGAAACCAATGTCATGTAGGTCAGGTGATTTTTACTCTAAAGCTATAGTAACAGAATCTTGCAAGGTTGAATGCACTTCCCCCCTCCCTCCCTTTATCTTCATGAGAACTAGGGAGGGGCTTGTCTGAGATGTTTGTTGTTGTTCAGTCGTTAAGTCGTGTCCGACTCTTCGTGACG